CCACAAACGCGGAGGCATGTCAGGGGGTGGGGAGGTGTGTTGGGCGCGGCGGCATCCTCTCCTTCACTAATTTGTGAAGGAAAATTCATAAAAATCGGGGGGGGGGAACTGGACAGGCGCCGAGCCAAACCCAGCCTTTCACTCGCCCAGCATCCCCAGAGAGCAAACCGCTCCAAGCGACATAATTCACCTAGCCCTGCAAAAAGGGAACAATCTGGGTCATAATGTGACGTGTATTTCGAACAGCGTAGCCTCAAAGGGTGAACAGTTGATTTTGCTCATTGATATCTATCAACAATAGTTAAAATTGCTTAAAAATAAGAGCGAGACTTCTGGACAAACTAGAATTGAGCAACTCCAAAGAAATAAAAAAGTCAAGCGATAATAGTATCACGAATCTACCTGGCTTGAACCATTTCTCGAAAATAGTTCTTCATATTAGTATATTTTTCCGTCGTTGAAAAACGATAATGCGACAAGGCTGCAAAGGTTACACTCTGTTAAGTAAAACAGTACCTGATCAAATGTTGTAATGTACCGTACCTGGTGACTTTGGCATTTGTGGATTTTCCTCTTGATTGACTACACTCATTCCCAATGGTTCGATCCGTACTGGCCCCTTTCGTGGATAGCCTCGTGGCGGCTTCTCAGGTGGAACTGTTGATTTCAAAGAAATGCCATCACCTCCGAGTAGTGCTTTTCGTCTTGTGCTCATCTGGTAGAAATCAAATTTATGAGAGAGAAATAGAGATTAATTCTCGGGCACAACGAAATGCCACATTACTAAAAAGCCAATTTTATTACGAACTAACTACTATGTATAAACGTAAGCTCTTACTTTGTATGTTTCGAGAAGCTGGTGAAGAAAGCAGCTTCATTAGAGCAACAGTAAAGCTACATGAAATTTCCGTTAAAGCTATGTCGCAGAAGCTTGCCGTCAAACTTCTCGCCAATGAGAATGAAAAAATACACCAAAACAGTTGGTTCGTTTCGCCTCTTTCTTAGACGAGTCTCCGCTATCTAGTCAACCCCGGCGTTCATCGGTGACGTAGGGTTGACGAAATAAGGGCAACATAGAAAAGGCGCTGGCGAACAAGAAAAAAAAATGAGAGAAGTTGTAACATAGAACCTTCTCCCATAGAGAAAAACTATCTATTAGTAGAAAAAAACTATCTATAGGTTACTCCTTCCATCAGAACTTCCAAGCGTTACTCTGGAGGAAGTCCTACACGAAAGGGAATTTGGGTGGATTTTCAGTATTTCAGTAACCCCTATGATTTAGAGAAAGGAAAAAGATCTTCAAAGGAAATGCAACGTTTGATAGCCCTTGAATTCCTCCCAGTTGAAGATACCGATCGGAAGACTCTTCGGCACTTTTTGCCCGTGTATTTATGGTGGCCAATTGCAACAAAGGATAATAAGGTTTGTGTGCGAAGCTTCTGACAAACTCAGTTAGAGCTGTGTTCACAGAGACAACTCATGCCTGGCCTTGAAAACACACGCGAAATATTAAAAAAGAGATGGAAAATTTCATACAATAAGCGCTCAACAGAGCAATGAATTTTCAAATTTCTGTAATTGGCGCGTCTTTTATTGGCACTAGAGCGAGGAATGTTTTGGTGTGCCTGCGCGGAAAAGTGATTTTAATGAGAAACGTGATGGCAATTAGATGATTTGATGGTGATCAATATCGTCAATATTTTGCAATTTTCAGAGGAGCGTGACTGATCACGTTTGGTATGCCTTTTTCAATAGAATCGCATGATTAGCTACAATTGAGCGCGAGCGTAGTTGAGCGGTCCACGCCCCTGCCCCGAACGCGATTATTTTCCGCCAGCAGCTGGTCCAGGTCCGCACGCAGAGAGTGTACCACTTTCATCACTTGAAAGGGCAAAATAAAGCGGTCACAGACACGTGAAACTTGTGGGCTTTGTTCCTTTCAGCCTGCAGGAAAGCGAATTACACGGTGATTTACGTAAATGCATTCTGTTCCCTGCAGCGTCGTAGGACGATTTCACAAGCTTATCGCGGAGAATCCTAACTTCTCTACTCTTTTACGAACTCGCGAGTTATTCTGTTCTCCCCGGAAACTTTTTTTTGGAAAGAAGCAGGCAATGGTAGTCTGTTTCGCACGACAGGATGCGTTCTTAGCGCTACTTAAATTCAGCAGTGATGCAGCATTAGTGCAAAAGCTCGTCGTGCATTGTTTATCGTAGTCATAATTTTATGCGAGTGTCTTTTCTGTCTCAGCGCTTTGTTTCTTTTTCTAGTATCAGT